GTGCCCGCAGCTGAGCCTACCCTGGCAGACTTCATGACAACATCGGGTTTCCTGGAGGTCATGGGCCGTATGCTGCGGTTCATGGACACCATGACTCAGGCTGGTTTATTTCCAGCGGATCCAGCTACATCACAGGTGGGAGGGGGAGCACAGAGCCCTACTGCTCAGGCTCCTGGTCATGCAGCTGCATTTTATCAGACTCCGGGTGCACTACCCGCGGATGGGGCTCAGCCAGTTGCTGCAGTAGTGCTCGAGCCCAGACTTGCTGCGGATGGAGATCCGCAGAAGTTATTAGACAGATGGACCAGGCTACACCCTCCTGTCTTTGGGGGGAACGTCATGAGGATGCCCAGGACTTCATTGATCGGTGCAGGGACAGACTGCACAACATGAGGATATTGGAGTCGCATGGGATTGACTTCACTACTTTCCAGCTGGAGGGCAGGGCCCGTAGATGGTGGCAGTCGTACGTTCTTGGAAGACCAGCAGGTTCTCCTCCCATCACTTGGGGTCAGTTCACACAGTTATTCCTGGACAGGTATATCCCACCCTCTGAGAGGGAAGAGCTACGGTACCAGTTTGAGTAGCTGGAGCAGGGTCAGATGTCCGTGACCGACTATGAGGCGAGGTTTTCTGAGTTATCCCGCCATGCACTGATGATACTTCCTACTGACGCAGAGAGGGTGCGGAGGTTTGTTGCGGGGTTGCATTCTGGCATTAGGGCCAACATGGCCCGAGAGGTGGAGATGGGGACTCCTTATCAGCTAGTGGTAGAAATCGCTCGGAGGATTGAGGGCTACCATCTGAGGGGTAGGGAGCAAAAGCAGCAGGACAATAGGGCTAGATTTTTTGGAGAGTTCAGAGGTGCCCCGGCTAGGGGTAGAAGTTAGTTTGGGAGGGGTCAGCCTAGCAGGCCCCCATATTCAGCACCACCACCTGCTCGAGGTGCTCCAGCATGCCCCTATTTCAGCGCCATGCCAGAGGGTTCTTATCGCTCGCCAGCTATTCAGGGTTCCTCCAATGGGTATTCAGGTCCCCAGGGTTCTTTTGGTTCCTATTTTAGTGTTATGCCAGAGAGTTCTTACCGTCCACCAGCTATACAGTGTTCCTCCGGTGGGTATTCGGGCCATCAGGGCCAGGCTTCCGGATAGCAGGCCATGGTGCCGAGAGGTTGTTACGAGTGTGGAGATCCGGGTCATATTAAGAGGAACTGCCCCAGACTTCGGGGCAAGGCAGTTCAGCAGGGTCAGCAGCCCATGGTTTCAGCACCGGTTTCCCAGCCGCCTAGAGGCGGGGGACAGACAGGTAGAGGCCGTCCTAGAGGTGGAGGTCAGACAGGGAGAGGTCAGTCAGCTACCTCTCAGTCAGGGGGAGGCCAGCCAGCCGGCGCTCCCGCCAGGTTCTATGCTCTTCCGGCCAGACCAGATGCATTGGCCTCAGATGCCGTTATCACAGGTATTATTTCCGTCTGTAGTAGGGGTGCTTCAGTGCTATTTGATCAGGGTCTACCTATTCATATGTGTCATCTCTGTTTGCCCGTTTCCTGGTTATTCCTCGTGAGCCTTTGGGCACTCCTGTTCATGTGTCCACCCCTGTGGGCGATTCTGTGGTTGTGGATCGGATCTACCGGTCCTGTATGGTCACATTCTGTGGTTTCGAGACTAGAGCAGATCTCCTGTTGCATGATATGATCAACTTTGAGGTCATCCTGGGCATGGATTGGTTATCTCCATATCACGCCGTCCTAGATTGCCATGCCAAGACTGCTACATTAGCAATGACAGGGTTGCCAAGGTTGGAGTGGAAGGGTTCCACAGTTGATACATCTAGTCGGGTTATTTCCTTCCTGAAGGCTCGACGTATGGTCAAGAAGGGGTGTTTGGCTTATCTAGCTTATGTTCGAGACACCACCGCAGAGTCTTCGACGATTGATTCAGTTGTAGTAGTTCGGGAGTTCGCCGACGTGTTTCCTTCTGATTTACCTGGCATGCCACCAGATCGTGATATTGATTTCTGTATCGATTTGTCTCCAGGTACCCAGCCTATATCTATCTGTCACGACCCAATTCCCACCAGGTCGTGATGGCGCCTCTCGTGAAGACAAGGCCAGCCAACAGAACAATCAACACTGCTTTTGACAATTTCTTAGCACAACAGGTTTAAACCATAGATACTGATTAATCATAAGTGCGGAAATAAACGTAACATAACGGGGAAAAACCATCCCAAACTCAGCCCGATGATCGGGGTGTCACAAGTCACGAGCTACTACAGAGTTGGTGAAAATACTACAAGTCTGGAAATATAGTCTGAAGATGAATAAAATATGCAGAAGATAAGGAAGGAAACGGGGCTGTGGACGTCGACAGCTACCTCGTCTCTCCTAGTCCGCCTGGTCTGGAAGGAAATCAGCGCTCAGGTACGAACTCAGCTGTGCCTGTCTCTGCACACATGGTGCAGGAAGTAATGTGAGTACTCCGACCCAGTGAGTAATAAAATTAAATAACGACTGAGAATATAAAATCCCACAAGGGCACAAATAATGCTATCTCAAGCAGCAACATCAGATAAACAGTAGAAACCAGTGAAATATAGGAAGAAAATCTCTTTGAAAACAATTAATAAAACAAGTATGCTCAAGTATGTCAGCCATTGTTACCTGACCGGTCAGCCATTGTTACCTGACCAAACGCGTATTACAGTGCCATTGTTACCACTGGTCAGTCATTGTTACCTGACTGGTCAGTCATTGTTACCTGACCAAACGCGTATAACAGTGTCATTGTTACCACTGTTCAATATTTAATCACTCTAGATGGGTACCCGCGCTCACTGTGGGTGTGCAGACTCCGGAGGGGCTCCTACAGCCCAAGCGCTATCAACAAGGCCTGAAAGCCTGAACAGTATCAATACGAGGCCTGAAAGCCTCCTCACCTCACTCATCATGCCCTCACATAAGGCCCTCGGCCTCAATCAGTCCAGAAATAGTCAACAGCCCCTCGGGCAACAGTAAAGCAATAATACTCAGCTCAAATAATAGTTCAAATATCAGTTTAAAACTCCAAGTTTTAGTAAATATGGCTGAGTTCAAGAAACAGTGAAAATCACATGGACTGAGTTCAAATAATATTTCAAACAGTGAGGAAAACAGTGATGATAGTTCATAAAGAGTTCAAACAGTCGGCAATAAGCCCCAAATATGGCAATAAGCCCAAATCATAGTGAAAACAATAAGTCATTGCTAATACGCGGTAAAATGTCATCCGGACTGGACCAAGTCACAGTCCCTAATAGTAAATGACCCCGCGCTCGTCATGGAACGCGTGTCTCATCTCAACATAGCACCAAGTTGTGCAAATCCGGGGTTTCAAACCCTCAGAACATCATTTAAAATCATTACTCACCTCTAGCCGGTCAAAGTCTAGCTCGATATGCCTTTTCCCCTCGAATCGCCCTCCTCGCGCGTCGAATCTGATCAAGACCACAAGAAATACATCACAATAGGCTAATGGGTCATAACCCAATCGAAAAGACTCGAAAAATATCAAAAATCACGAAGTTGGCAAAACCCGAACCCCGGGCCCACTTCTCGAAAAATTACGAAATTCACATCTCCGGATTCATCGTCTCGCCACGAGTCTATACATATCAAAATCATCAAAATCGGGGTCCATTTGGCCCCTCAAATCCCTATTTTAAACTCTCTTAAATTCAAGCCCTAAACCACCATTTTTGACCTTTGATTCCTTGATTATTCAGTCCAAATTCATGTTTATACACCATAAAATCAAGCTCTAAGTCCAAGAGTTCATACCTGATAATAGCCCTCGAATCCCTCTTCAAAATCGCCTCAAAGCTCTCAAGGTTCGGAGTCCAAAATGCTACTCTTTCAAAAATTCGCGAGGAAGATGTTTTCACTTAACCTGCCAGTTATTTCCGCTTCTACGGATTAATTCTCGCTTTTGCGCCTTCCGCTTATGCGGTCAATGTCCGCTCCTGCGGACCTTTCACTTAAGGCGACTTTCCGCTTCTGCGGTCCAGCTTCGCATCTACGGGACCGCTTAAGCGACCCAATGTCCCGCTTCTGCGGAACCTGACCTGGGCTCCTATTTCCGCTCCTGCGAGGTCTAGCTCGCTTCTGCGAGACCGCATCTGCGATCTCATTTCCGCAGATGCGGAAACACCTGCTGCAACCAAAAACCTGCAATTTTCCAACTTCAAATTTCTTCCGTTAGCCACCCTAAATCACCCCCGAGGCCCCCGGGACCTCAACCAAAGTTACCAACACATCTTAAAACATTATTCAAACTTGTTCCAATCCTCAAAACACGTCTAACAACGCTAAAACCATTAAATCACATCGAATTCAAGCCTAAGTTTCTTCAAAACTTCCGCAATACGCATTCGATCAAAACTCGACCCAAAACATCTCCGAATGACCTGAAATTTTGCACACACATCCAAAATCACCTAACGGAGCTACAGAAACTCTCGAAATTCCATTCCGACCCTCGGATCAAAATCTCACCTACCAACCGGAATTTGCCAAAATACTAACTTCGCCAATTCAAGCCTAATTCTACACCGGACCTCCAAAACCAATTCCGATCACGCTCCTAAGTTACAAATCATCCCCCGAAGCTAACCGAATCTCCAGAAATCACATCTGAGCCCTCTAACCAACTAGTCAACTTCCGGTTGACTTTTCCAAAACAAGTTTTCCTTAGAGAGACTAAATGTCTCATCTCCTACCAAACCAATCCAACTCGATTACCCCAAATACCGATAATGAAGCATAGAGAAACATAATATGGGAAAAAAACTCACGTGACGACGGGCCGGATCGTCACACTATCCCACCGTACCGTATGGCTCCGAAGGAGTTGAAAGAGTTGAAGGAGCAGCTTGAGGAGTTGTTAGCAAAGGGGTTTATTAGACCGAGTGTGTCACCCTGGGGTGCACCAGTGTTGTTGGTAAAGAAGAAGGATGGGACCATGCGGATGTGCATTGATTACCGCCAGTTGAACAAGGTTACCATCAAGAACAAGTACCCGTTGCCGCGCATTGATGATTTGTTCAACCAGTTGCAGGGTGCTAGGGTGTTCTCTAAGATTGACTTGAGGTCAGGTTACCATCAGTTGAGGATTCGGGACTCAGATGTTCCGAAGACTGCTTTCCGTACTAGATATGGTCACTACGAGTTTCTGGTGATGTCCTTTGGCTTGACTAATGCCCCAGCGGTGTTTATGGACTTGATGAACAGGGTGTTCAGACCTTATATTGATTCCTTTGTCATCGTCTTCATTGACGACATCTTGATATACTCACGTACCCTGGGGGAGCACGAGCAGCATTTGAGAGTAGTGCTTCAGACCTTGCGAGAGCAGAAGCTATATGCTAAGTTCTCCAAGTGTGAGTTTTGGCTAGAGTCAGTGGAAATCTTGGGGCATATTGTGTCTGGAGAGGGTATTAAGGTGGATCCCAAGAAGATTGAGGCAGTTCAGAGTTGGCCACGTCCTACTTCAGTGATCGAGATCAGGAGTTTCCTGGGGTTAGCAGGTTATTACCGGCGATTCGTGCAGGGCTTTTCATCTATTGCATCACCTCTGACTAGATTGACCCAGAAGGGTGCTCCTTTCCGCTGGTCCGATGATTGTGAGGCGAGCTTTCAGAAGCTCAAGACGGCTTTGACTACAGCACCAGTTCTTGTGTTGCCTTTCGGTTTAGGGATGTATACGGTATATTGCGACGCTTCACGCGTTGACTTGGGTTATGTATTGATGCAGGAGGTGGGAAAATTCGTCGAAATCTGCTATCAATGAGACGACATTAGGGTTATTCTTGAACAAAGACGACAGAGTTTTGGTGCTGAGCAACTTGAAGAGTCTGTTACCTTTTTTTTCATTGTATTTCAATGTATCTCGCTGTATTCGGAGTTTTGCGGCTGAGCAACTCGAAGAGTCTGTTACCGTTTTTTTCATTGTATTTTCGTGTATCTCGCTGTATTATATGTATTTTATTATATTCATTGTCTTTTTTTTTTATTGTATTTCAATGTATCTCTCCATATTCCATGTATTTCATTGTATTCACTGTCTCGCTATATTCCATAAATGTATTCATATTTTTTTTATTAATATAATTTATGTATTCAGACTTATAATTGAGTTAGTTGAGTTATATTAGGAGTTTATTGTGTTAATTGATTCACTTTCCGTTTAAAATTAGCTGAGTAGACCACGATTTGCACTATTTACGTTACTGTATTCACAATTATATATCGTGAATACAGTCGAATACATTCGAATACAATATCTGTCTAGCTGTAATCCCCTATTTCACGCCGTGAATACAGTCGAATACAAAAGTCTGTCTAGCTGTAATCCCTTGTTTCACGCCTAGAAATGCTACTGTATTCATGACTACAGTAGCTTAAATACATCGAATACACTCTAAAAAACCTGAAAACATAGTTATAGGAAGTAATATAGTAAATGGTAGCTACAACTAGCTAATAACCACTAAAACATAGTGGTTTCTGAAAGCTTCTCAACATAATTTAAACAAAAAATTGCACGGCATGTCCACGTGACTGATCTTGGCAGAATATCCTATTTACTATGGTTAGCAAAAGCTCTGATCATTTTTACTTGAACGCCATAGTTCTTCTCAAGGATCCATTATTGTTAGAATCGTTTGAATGTTGATAATTTATGCTTAAATTTTTAGTTCAAATATATTCACTGTAAAAATCTCAAATTTTCAATATTGGACCTTAGCAAGTGGTAAAGAAGACAAAGTGAATCTTTTTTATATGGTGTTATTTGGCTAAGTTGGTTATTAGGAATTGTTTGTGTTAGTATTTGAATGCTTTGTTTCAAATTTGAGATTACTTGAAGCGGATTTGGGGATGGTTTGATGAAATTGAAGTTGCAAAATTTGAAGAACACTTTGTTAAAATAACACAAAAAAATTATGTCAATCGGCTAGGTTTCGATGAACAACTTAATAGATAGATAGAGCAAATATAGCATAAGCTCTACCAATCCAGTAAAAAAAACCTGAAGAATGAAATCATGCCAACCTGATATACGTTTACGAACAACTTAACAGATAGATAGAGTAAATATAATACAAACTCTACCAATCCGGTAGAGAAACTCTGAAGAGCAATAACTATGTGCCGATCGGGAGCTATTTTTTAAATACTATCAAATTTGAGGGCATTTAGCTAAGATCAGCCCCTTACGAAGCAATTCCTGTCAATAGTCCAAATTTTTGTGTCTTCTTCTCACAGGTGTAGTGGAACGAGTTAGAATATGCAGTATGCGACGAATTGAGTTTTTCTAATGAAAATGGTTGCTCGGATTTCTCGGCTTGGTATTCTGGATTTCGTGTTCATGATATCTATATTTAATTATATTTCAAATATACTGTCAAATCATGGTCGTTCAATGCGCTTTTGTCATGACATATTAGTCCTTGATGACTTTTAAGGCTCGTTTGGTACGGGATAAGGGATAATAACCCCTGGATTAAATTTGAAACGAGTTTAGTCCATATTTGACTAAGATAAAATCGCGATATAATTAATTCGGGGATTAGTTATCCCGAGATTGTAGTGTTATTTTTATCTCTATGGCAAGGTGAGGTAACAATCCCGATATAATTAATCTCGGAATAACTGATCATGAAATAACTTGTTTGTCAACCAAACGACTAGGGGTGTTCATGGTTCGTGGATCGGTTTTTCCCTAAAAAGAAATCAAACCAAGTAAGTCGGTTTTTCAAATATTAGAACCAAATCAAACCAACTAAGTCGGTTTTTTCTCGATTCGGTTTATGTCGGGTTTTGTCTGTTTTTCGGTTTTTTCGGTTATTTGTCGGTTTTTTCTTAAATATAAGACACACACTATCAAACACATATTCCGGCAACCACATTTTCAACGTAACACTAACAAATCAATTGCCCTTTGAGAAATCTATTATTTACCAATATGTATTAATGATAATTGAATCAAATAGTGATGAATATTTTAAGGACTCAATTAAAAATATATTATTTTTAACACGAAATGGATTCTTACACTTAACAAAAGAAAACTACCAATCAAACTAGAATGTAAAGGTAAAGAACTATACTAAAAGTGCAAACTATTAACATTTACTATTAAATTTTTGAAACTTTGTATAAAAATATACATATATATAGGTGTAATAATAAATTTGAAATAGTTACTCCTATAGTCGGTTTGGTTCGTTTTTTTTCTGATTAAAACCAAAACCAAACCAAATTCGATCGGTTTTTAAAATTCAAAACCAAAACCAAACCAAACCAAAAAGTATTAGTTTTTTTGGTTGGTTTGATTTGGTTTTCGGTTTGATCGATTTTTCGGATTTTTATGAACACCCCTACAAACGACCCTTGTGGTTCTTCTAGCCCTATTGACGAAGGACAACATTTGCACCTATTAAAACAACTGAGGGCAGGATAAAGTGAAAATAATGGTATTTGAAAGTGGGGCTTGCTAAGCTCTCACTTCTTTTTTTAAGGGTCGTATTAAATCATTAATTTATATCATAATCAAGTTTATTATCACATTTATAAGTTTAAGATATGATATGGGGAATCACATTAGGAATTTTTGTGGCCCCTCGACCAGAAAATGCAGTTAAATCTCAAACAAGAACTAACAACGTGTTATAAATAGAATTTTATTTATGGTGAATGTCTATATTTAGAGAGATTCTAGGGTTTATTACTTGGTGGCTAAGTCACCCTCTCCCTATAAATAGAGGGTTCTATTCTATTGTAATTCATCCCAAAATCAATAAGAATTTTCTCTCTCTACTTTTCTCTGTAATACTTTTCTTTTTCTTTTATTGTTTTATAATATGTTATCAGCACGAGACTCTAACCAATTGAGTAGAAGCTTTGGGATTGAGCATAATGATTGTCAATTATTCCATGAACTTCCTTCATGATTAAATTCTGGATTTAAGGTAAGTATTTTACCGTATTTTTCTCTTTTATTCTATACTTTGATTTTAAATACAAGCAAAGACAACAAAGTTTGATTATAACTCTAATGGAGTTTGCAAGAAATTATAACCACCTGAAGTGGTAAAATTTCTATGCCTCGCCATGATCAAATTCATGTATGATTGTGGGCAAAGAATTGAAAACCCGTCCCATTGAATTTGCTCCATTCTCATTCCCTTAAGAGAATGTGATAGCAGTATGTGATAAGTCTGAAAGAAGATAAAATTATTACTATGAATGTATCAATGGATGTGGACGTGGCAATAGACGAAATTATAATCGTCGTCATTTGTGGTAATGGGAACAATAAGGATTCTCAAAATAATCTTTCACTCTGTGAAAAATATTTGTCATCGATTTGACATGAGATTTTGTAAAGCACATATAGATGATTATGGTCCATTCATGATGTGAATGTGACAACATCTGATTTATGAATACATATTCATTCTTCAAAGAATATGAACGTGCTAGTGGTAGTGAATATACCGCACTCACCTCTAAAAGGAGGTTTGAGATGATATAAGAAAATAATGTCATTATTATGGCATGAATGGTCATTGGTCACGTACCTATTGTACGCCAAAATATTTTGGTAATGTGATTATTAAAGAATAACATTAATGCAAGAAACATATCTTGCATATAATTTTGACCATGACTATAATGGTATAACTTTCTCTTTAAAAGAGATATTCACCATATGGGGTGTTGATGAATATGCGGTACTACAAAATTAATTGAGAACTCTGCAAGAGCCAATTATACTATTTTGGAGAAACACAATTGATTACCAATAAGGTATTGTGTTGTAGTAAGTCTCAAAGAAACTTATTCAGTTTCCAAAGTATACGCGAAAGCGGTTGATTATATTGAGAGTATAAATAAAGGAAAGATTTAATATCTTCTATTACTACAACTTGTAGCTGGGTAATATGTATGTGAAAAGCTACCCGTTTTATTCTCCAGTTTGTACTACACAAATAAAAGAATACCATAATAAAGTGGATATTTATTGATATAAAAACCCATATCATAATAAACTTGGAGTTTATTGATAATTGCACAAGTCATGGCGTAAATCTGAAGTTTATCAATATTG